CCCCCCCATGCTCTCCCTCCGCCGGTATCACGTGTCGCCATCATACTCATTGGGAGTCTCTGCCTCGCCTGTCGCCACGTTTCAGGAGCAACGAGGACACTTGGTTGCCGTCCTCCACGCACCCTCCCCGCTCCCACCGTCTCCTCCTCCTCCGAGCGCACCATCGCGCGGATCAGACCGAAGGGCCCCAACCCCAAAAGCCCTACGGGAGAGCCGGCTAGGGAGCGGACGGGCCCCAGCCGGCGCTGGAGGGGAGGAGGGTTGCGGGGCCAGGGGCGGAAGACCTTCTTTTGGAGCCTCCTCGAGAAAGCCTGAGAGCGCGAGAGGGGGTTTAGGGTCCATATTTGTCCCTTTTTCCGCCTCTCTCTGAGTTGATCTAGGAAGTTCTGAGGCTTCGGGGGAAAGGCCGAGCGGTCCAACCCGCCCATTCCAGAGGGAACGCTTACAAGGGAAAGGGAAGGGGCAACACGTTGGCACCCATCCTGCTGGAGCAGCTCTTGGGCACGCGTGTTCTCGGGAGGCTGCGTGGGCTCGCAGGGAGCCCAGAGCCCGGCGGCAGTGAATGAGGACAGCGTCTGCTCGGGCGAGAGCCCCGTTGCCGAGCGTCTGCCAGGCTGGGCACGCGGGGCTCCTGGCTCCCGCCGGCTCCGCACTCGTGCTGGACAGCTCCGCTTGCCACCTGCGGCCGCGTGTGCGGCGTCGACGGCTGGGGGACAGTTCCTCTGTCGACTCCACTACCTAGGACCCTGCTGGGGGAAGACCAGGGAGTGCTCCCAGAACCCTCCTCCTCCCTGCTCTTTGCGCCAAATATGCGATCTGCAAGTGCTTGGAAAGCTAAGGGGAGTGGGGGAAAAGCTTTTCAAACCCAAGAACAGACTCGCCACAGCGAGAGCACAGCTCTTGCTGAGAGTTTGCGGCGGAGCTGCTTCATTCCAAAGCTCGCCTCATGGCAAACCAGCAGCCGCTCTCAGCACCCGGCCCCACTGCGTTCATTTTAGCTCCTTAAAAGCCTCGAACTTGTTCTGACCGGGTAAGGGATTGGAAGAAGGAGCAAGTCAGAGTGTCGCGGAAAGAGGGGTCTCAGGCTGTGCTTCCCCCTGCAGCAAAGCAGATGAGCAGCACCCTCGGCCCCTCTTCCCCTTCTCCGGAAAGAAAAGTTCAGGGGTTCTGGCTTTAGCTCCCTAGGATACAGAAGCCAAAGCGGTTTTTGGTTTTTTTAAAGGACTGGTCCTTCCAAGGTGAAGGCAGATGGGTTTGTGAATTGTGTTTATTTAAGAACAAACAAAAGATCCAGAACAACAACAAAAACAAACCTTTACTTACCCCCAACCCCAATTTGCTTTTAATTCTAAATCTTCCCAATTGTTTATGAAGACCCAAATAAATATAAATGCTATTGGGGATTTCCTTTTACATTTTTGAAAAATCCACTCAAATTGATTCAAAGATATGCTTGATTCTGATTTTAAATAGGCGTTGAAAATTTAAAAATGTGTACTATCACTCGCATTCTCCCCTTCAAAAATGTCTTTCTCAGCCTGGTGAGTAAGGTGCTACCTGTATAGTTTCTCTTCTTAGCAGAAGAAATCCAGGACTCTTTAAAATTATTATATTATTATTGTTACTATTTTGGTTGTGGTGTATCTACTGTTGACTTCCCATTACTTCACTTAATTCTATATGCATTTGTTTCTGCTGGATATTAGACACAATTATATTTTTTATCATAAAGAATAATAAATTCTGCTAAAAAATTTCACTGGGTGGTTCATTTGAAAATTACATTGTTCCAACTTTGGGGTAACTGTTTAATATTCTTGCTGTGCAGTGTTGATCACAGCATAATAAATTAGAATTCTTAGTTCTCATCTTTAGTAATGATGATGTAATTGTCAAGTTCTTTAGAGTCATACAATTTTACAAGTCTTATTAAGGATACTAAATAGCATTAGGGCCTTCATATTCTTTTAACAAACTACTGTTGAACACACACACACACATATTCTGTTATGGTAATGATAAGTAACCTTTGCATTGAACTTAAAACCAGAACTTTTACTAATCATTCCAACTCTTGTCTCAAAGTCAAAATGACTGAGTGCTGAGCAATGAGTATCATTTGTTTGCAAAATTTACAAGAAGCCCAAGAGTCTTCCTGTTTACACTGGAAGTTTATTGCCAGCAAGAACTCTGAACCTATGGGATGTTTTTGCGTTGTGTGAACCATTTGAATCAAAGACTCTTTATAGAATCTAGCCAAATGAAGTGTTCTTACAATTTTGAGTATGAATTAGCCTACCTTTGATCATGATTTTCCCACCGATTTTTTAAACTATAAACAAATGGAGGCCAGGGTATAGACAGTCCATCATTTGCATTACTTTCAAGGGTTTCCCTTTGTATTTCTCTTCAGGAGCAGGACTCAAAAGTTCTCAATATGAAGAATGCTGTGTTCTATACTTGACTTAACATTTTTTTAAAGGAAGAGAATAGGAATAACCTAGTCTCCATTTTTTAAAAAAAGGTTTAAAGCCTTAAAACTAGTAAAAGGAACCCAAATAGTTAGGAAAGAGCTGCCACTTAAAGTGAAGAGCTTGTGCTCTGATGTTAGGCAAAGAAACTTACATAGACTCATGCCCACAAACCCAGTCCTGCTGGATGTATTGTGTTTCAATAAATTCCTTAAAGCCCAGTTTTCTCCCAGAATAGTGAACTGCCGGGATGTACTTGTTCTGTTTCTGAACTCGGTGAGGGTGCCTGAGGACTCACTTGAGATTGATCAAGCATTGGGAAGGACTCCTTAAAGCAGATTCTCCACCTTAATAAAGATAGTGACTATTTCCTCTTTAAACATAAAACTATTGTTTTGTATGCCTTACCTTCATATATAGCATTGCTATTTATAAATTCCTTTCACTTATTTTGCCTCATTTAATTAGATTTTCGATCCTTCCCAGAGAAGTAGCTAAGGAAAAATTCACCTCCCTCAAATTCAACTAAAAATTACAATCAGTCCTCATTCCCCAAATTCTTTGCATTTCAGAGCTCCAAACTCTCCTAATTTCTTTTCATCCATCCAAGTCTCCAGCAAGAAAACCTGCAACATCTGCACAAAGCATTCCCTGGAGCAGAGCTCTCGCCTGATCTCATGAGACTAAGGAAATCTCTCTCTCCCTGTAGCCAATCTTTACATAAATCTGGCAACTCACAGGAACTGCATATGTAACAGTAAAGTAAGTTCTTTTTAAAAAATATAGTAGCTGGTGAATTCTTAAGTAGGGCAGGTTTTTCTGGATCCCTAACCTAGAAAATTACACACATACACCTACTCGCCACCTGCAGGTTAACTCTACGTACATGATCCCTGAATGAGATTTGTCTACACCTCCCACTTCCTTATACTCTCTTTTAAAAAGAGGGCAAACATACTTTCTCAGTGAAAGATCATGAACAAATAAGAGTGGAGATACGGTGCTTTATATCCCTGCATAGTTTTGTAAGTAAAACCAAATATTACGGACAATATCAAAATGAGAATCAACTGCGTTGTTCATATATAATGGGACACATGGAAGACAATGCAACTCATCATTCTATGCTTATATTTCATCAAACTATCCGGAAGGGATAGGGGACTTGTTAATCAAAACAAGACAGGGGCAGGGAGGAAATAAAGAAAAGCAGTAAAGTAAATGCAACACTTAGGATTTGTACCAGAAAGATACTTATGAATTAGTGGGGTGGCTGCCTTGTTTTGATGCCACTGTATCAAAGAATGCAAGAAAGAGGGAAAGTAATCAGTGTCTTTTGGTGCCTCGGGCAGACAATACTCCCTTACGTGGCTTTGAGTGGCTTTGTACTCTCAACCATGCACTGCAGAAATCCATCCTCTGAGAAGAGGCCCTAGAAGCCAATGCGGCCTACAATTCCGTCTTTTTGTCTTCCGCATCATTAGCTCTCTACACAACTTTTTAAAGTTGAGATTGCTTTTCAGGTATTAGGTACAGATTATATAGGAAGATTATTGTACCCGGCTCTATGTGTTTGTGTAGACTACAGTATTGTCTTTATAATATCTAATAATAGCAATGTTTTGCCAATAAGCAATTCAATTGTGGTCCATTGTAGCCTTTAATTATTTACCTAAATACTTCTTTCTACCTTATACCCAAACCTTTTGCTTTCCAAATTATTTCTAAACCTTTACCTTCCAGATCTATTTAAGTAAAAGTAACATTTGTTGAGAAACTACAATAGACCAGGGTCTGTTT